GCCGCAGCCAGGCGCGGCGATGCCGGCCCCGCCCGGGACCCCCGCCCGCCCCCCCGCCGCTCCCGGGGCGCTCCGTAACGCCGCCCCGCTGCCGGCGCCACCAGATCCGGTGACGCGCAGCCCTCCCCCGGGCCAGCCCCCGTGCCGGAGAGGGGCGAGCGGGCGGCGAGGCGGGAGCCGCTTCCCACGGGCAGCGGGAGGGTGAGCTGGGACCACCGGGAGAGCGCGACCTCCGGCGCGCAGGGACAGCGCGGTGCCGGGCGTGGCGCTGGAGCTGCCGAGCCGCCCGGGGGAGGCGGTGTTTCCCCGGGCCGCGGGAGAGCATTTCCCCGGAGCCCGCGGAGCTCTCACCGGTCCCACGGAGCTGCGGCTGCCCGCTCACCCCGTGCCCGGCAGGAAAGTTATCCGCCCCCCTGCTGCCTCACTCAGCCTCCGCTTTTGCTCAGCTGCCAGCTGTGTGACTGACTGGGTTTCGGCTGGCCGCTCGCCAGAGGGAACGTAATCAACCCCCCATGTAGGGAAGAAATTTGGTGCCGGTTCTATCACTTTGCCCGGCTGGCTTGGCGCCGCTGCCTTCTCGCCGCCCCGTGTCCCAGCCTCTAACGCAGAGCACGGCTCTGCGGCGACCACCGCCACCGGCGCACAGCCAGCGCCGCTCTTCCGGGCTGCCTCGGACAAGGAGCGGGCCCAAAGGGAGCCAGAGGGGTGAGGGACAAGCTGTCCTGTGCCTCGTGAAAGCCCTGCGTGCTCCTGGCCCTCCTGTTCCGCACGTTCGTGCTTCCAGCAGCGCGCACGGCGCCCTGCCGGAGATGCCCCGCAGGCACGGCCCTCCCCGTCGGACGGCGCTGCAATGACACGCTCTAACGCAGCTATCAGTCACTTACACAGGCACACCCATATATATAATGCATAGATATGTATGTACTCGTATCAACACACCCCTGTACGCACAGGCGGCCGCCGCGGGGAAGCCGCATCTCCACGCGGACGGGGCCGCCAGAAGTCGACTTGCCACGGCGAAGGCAGGAGGAGAATTAACGCATCAGGGAAAAAGCAGCAGGAGAGAGAGCCCGAGGGGAGCCGCCACCGGAGCCGCCTCTCGGCAGCGCTGTCGCGGGCTCCCCGCCGCGATGCCGGCAGCCGGGCTCGCCGCCCGCCGGCGCTGCGGAGCGCTGCGGGCAGGGAATCCCTCTGCGCCTCCCGGCTGGGGGAGAGCCCGGCTGTGGTGGGGCTTTTGCTACATTGAGAGTGCCTGGAGCAGCAGTGGTCTCACCCTTACGCTCTGGGACCCCTTCTGCTCTTGGGAATGTTTCTCTGCAGTTAGGCTGAGGATGTCAGGGAGGATGGTCACGATTAAAAGTTCGCTAAAAGGGAGATTGAGCTTTGCTTTTCTGTAGGTCCTCCGACAGCCCTTTTCCCTTCAACTTCTTTAGGCTTCTTGTAATGAAAAGTGGTTTTCACGGGCATCTTACAGTTAAAGGCTTTTCTTCAACCAAACTGGCACAAACAAAAATGTTTCTTTTCCTTGTGCACTGTTTTTAGAAATATTACCTTCAATAATGTGCAGTGAGCTATTGAGTGGGGAAAGGATTTAAACAGACAGCTTCATGCAAGTTAAATGCAAAGCTAAGAGAGTTGCTCCGAAGAATGAAGCTAATTGTTGGGTTGATAAATGCATTAGAAAATGCAGTGATAAGTTTCATTCCTAATTGAACAGATTTGTACTTCAGTTCTCATCTTGAGATCTTTATCTTTCATTGTTTCTTAGTATTGAATTGATGTCAACAGTTCTTGATAGCTAGAAGCTAACCAAGCTATTTGTCCTGTTGTGGCTGTATTGAAAGATTGAATCATTTGAACTGATAGTTCTCCTGACAAGACTGAAAAAAATAAATTATTAAAACGGTACATATATGAGGGCTGGGATGATTGAAATACATGTCTGAGAATTGAAATAAGTGAAATGTAATAAACCACAAACTAATCAAAGAAGTGAAGTGGAACTGTAACCTTCTTTTCTCATGCCCTGCTGACAAAGTCAACACCCAAGAGAGAAGTTTTTAAACAAAGTGGAAACAAATAATATTTTATGATCTTTTAGACACTTTGTCTAGAGTCAGTCCCACACTGAAATTCCAACAGGGGCAACCTCCTTAGTTTTCACTATCAAAGTCACCTATAGACTAATCAATACATATCCTGTTCCTCCATCTGTAGGGAGATTTGTCATCTTTCTGGGTATGTCCCATGTCATTCTTTGTGGGGTGATGAAGAGCTCAAGCAAGAAAGGAAGTTTCATTTCACAAGAGGAAGCTGTTCTGTTTTAGTACAGTGTCTTTCAAACTATTCCTACATTTATTAAAATGCATGTATGTTGCAAGTTTCATTACCACTAAGAATATGCTGAAGATGAAGCCAGGTGAAAAAAGTGTACAGTGTTTTTTATAATTATCAACCACATTGTATGAAATGTGTGCTCTCCAGTTTTACACACAATTACGTTTGTTTTGTATTTTTGCTTCAGTTAGCACAAACACAACATAAGATTTTTACACACACAGAAATCAGATGTCAGGTAAACTTAAGATGTAGTCAACAACATGAAGTAACATTTATAGTCAGACCGGGTGAGCCAGAATTGTTTTTGTGTAGTATGAACTATGTTAACTGAGAAATTTCACATAATAAGCTGATGGTAGATTGGCGTCTGTTTTAGATCCTTCAGCTTCAGCAGCCTGGCAGCACTCAAGTCACCAACAAAGATGGATTGACAAAGGAGGAACAGCATTAAAAGCTGAAGAAATGGAGGCTAAGCACGAAGATAAGTTGTCATTGTTTAAAAAATATGAGAATGAAAGGAAGAATTTTACCCACCAAGCAAGTGAGTGACACTCTTGGTAAAACTGTATTGACTACCTATCTGCAAGAGATCATTTTTCTTCTTTTCTCTTTGCAAAATTACTACAGCATCCATTTTTTTTTCTTCTGAATGTATAGCTCGCTTTGATTGTGGGCAGGGATTCTGACATTTGGTAGCCAAACCCTTGTGCGTATGTCTGTCACACATAGGCCTCACTCTGAAAGTGCTGGGAAATAAAGGGCAGAGAACTCAGGCTTTGAAAAAGTGCATGGGAAAAGAAACTACCAGTTGTAGTGGACAAGTAACAAGAATATATAAGAAAGCTCTTAAGATGCTTTGGGAAATAGTATTTTTTTGTCCAACATCACTGCAGCATTAGATTGATTTTCCATTCCTGTAGCACATCCTGCCACCTCTGGGAACACATCATGGCTGATAGGTTATTAATTGATTCTGTGAGAATAGAATTAATCTATTTTCAATATTCACTTTTGGAAAAGATAGCAGTCAGAGTAGCAAATGTAACACCATCAAGGACAGGTGTCACACTTTATAGAAAGTGGATCACAAGATCATCTATACGCTCCTTGGTACTTGCTATATCAAGGTGTAAATGAGGAGTACATTCCCAATTTCTGATTATATAATTTTGTTTTTTATTTCCATTCATGGACTGATAATAAACCACAAAACTATGTCCAAAAAAAGTCTGTGAACATATTCCCTCTTTTTTCCCCAACAATTAGTCTAAATTAAGCTTCACAAAAATACTCCATTTACCGGTATCTGGCACCCTTCTTAAAATAATGTGTCATTTGTCACCACGGCTTATAATCTGAAAATATGACTGGGGAACTGATGGAGACCAAAATAGCCTTTTACAGTCTGTAGGTGGCCAAAAAATTCTGCAGTTATATTCCATAAAATTCCTTGCTGCCGTGATTTGTTTCTCAAGAGCTCTTGTCAATCCACTTACAACTCTCACTTACATGGGCCCAAAAAGAAACATGGGGATTTGTTCAAATTGTAACCAAATATAGTTATACATTAAAATCCCTCTTTTCACATGTAAAAAGGATATTAGCAATTCCATAAATTCTACACAAATTTTTACTTTGAAATTCTGGGTTTTTAAAATCATCTTGAGGATTGGAGAATTTAAAGCCTTGAAACCTAACAGCAGAGAATCTCAAGCAAAACTGGGAAATTCATAGTCTTAATACATCCCTTAATCTTAAATTTTACACGCAGCCTGTATATCATGTTCAGTACTGTTATTATTTATGGTAGTCTATAAATGGCTTGCGTCTCATTAATGAGTACTTTTAACTTAGAAGAGAATTTGGATACAATTTTAACAAAGGATTGCAACTAGTCTCAAGAAAGTTATCAGCATTATCTGCCTTAGTAACTAATGTACTAAAATCAACTATTACAAATCAAAAGAGGCAAGTACCAAATCATAGGCTATAAATAATAGGACCTAAGAAAATTATTGATTATATTTTTCTGTTTAATTTTCAACCAAAACAATCATCTTTGCTTTCTCACAATTATCCTATTTCTTCACCAAAAGGAGATAAAATTCCCCTATGTGCATTTAAAAGTCAATTGTACACATTTTAAAGTTTGAAAATTGGTGGGGTTTTTTTTCCATTCGGAAGAAAAATAACTCATAAAAATATAATTTGAAAATAACTGACATACATTCTGTAGGATTTATGAGTCCCCATAAGAAAACTAAAATATAAAATATTACTAAGGATAGGGAAGGATTTATTTCTTCGCAATTTTTGAAGGGATAGTTAAAAGATGAGACAGCGTAATTCAAATCTGGGATGTGATCTTCAGGTAACTTGTTTAAAGCATTTTGAAATATATGTGGGTGCAGCTACAGTTTGTAACAGTGATTGGTATGTTCCTGTCATTAAAGATCATTTGTATATGCTTGAGGCAAAATTTGTGGATGGAAGTCTC